CCCAGGTGGGTCTCGAACCCGCGGACTCAGGCAATCTACTCACCTCAGCCTCCCAAAGGCGTGGGATTACAGGCTGAGCCGCTGAGCCACCAAGCCCGGCTCAATTAATTTTCACAACAAACATCCTAAGTGGATACTATTATGATCTCTATGTTACAGGTGAGGAAACAGAGGCATCAAGAGATTAACTAGGACTGAGATTATACAATAAAATTTTAAAATGAAAATAAAATTGTTGATAGACTGAAAACAATTAAATTTTCTCTCACCTCTCCTGCACAGACCCCATTTTGGGTTTTGAGTAACACAAAAGGGTTGCTGTGATCCTAGAGGAAATTGGCAGTGCCATTTATTGAGGAGGAAAGTGAGACAAGTGATGCTGGAATATGAGATGTTTTACTATGAAAACAACAGTGTGCTACATGTGCTGTGAGTAAGTGGGTTTCTATTTCTATCCCGCAAGAGGTTCATCCATCGCTCGGCCCACTCCAGGCCTCTTCATAGAGGACATGCACTCACCTGGACATTGAGAAAAGGAAGACTACAAATACTTGAAGTATGGGGCAAATCACCAATATTTCTTAAGAGACAGCCACAAAGCACCTAATCATAGTAGCTACAATGTGTTGAGTGTTCACTCTGTGCCAGCCAATACTTTAGGTAGTCTATGGGTCTCAACTCAATCCTCACAGTAACCTTAACAGGTATTAAAATCCCCAGAATACAGATGAGAACTGAGGCTCAGAATCATTAATTGACTTGCATGTGAACACTGAATTAGTAATTACTAAGTCAGTTATTTAATTCCCACATCCTTTTTAAATAGTAGACAGTATTACTCAAGTATCTTATCTCTCTAGGAAAGAAAATGAAAAACACGAAAATGCATTTCATAGGCTTGCTTTTTGGTAAGGGAAAGGAAAGACTTACCTGTCTTTCAACCTTTACAAACTTCCCCATCATGCTTTGGTCTTCAGTTTCTGATGTGGATGCCCTGGCTACATATGGTTCATTCCTAAGAAAAAGTCAAAACTCCTGTAAGATCATTATATCTATTTTTGCTATGCAAGGTCATTCCAGCTAGGCAGGTCACGTCCCATAAAGCCACCCTTCTCATCCTTATGCTTGTGCAGACTGAAAGAGGCCCATTCAACTGAAAGAGGCATATGTGAGTCAGGAAATGCCAGATTTTTTCCTGGCTTCAACACTGGTATTTCATGCTTACCTTCATTGTAAAAAAAATTTTGAAGCCAAATATGAAGCTTCTATTAAGAAGGCTTTGCTTGGCATTAAACTTAATAAAACACCTAATGGTGTCTAGAGTGTGTAGCTCCTTTAAGTTGCACTCTTTTTGCTTTTTACTCTCAGATTGCTGGTTGAGAATTTCTATTCTGAGTGTATGGTGGGGGGGGTGGATGGGAAGGGGTTGCCGAAACTCTGAAATAAAATATGGTGGTTATAAATATTGCATCTGGCCAATCTTGTTAAGAAAGTACAACAAATGCTGAATCTGGAAAATGATGCAAAAGGTGACACAAATGGAATTGAGATGTGTGCTTTATTAGCTTTATGGCTATGCACAGTTAGCATCTGTCTAAATTCCAGTTAGCTTCAGTATTTTCATGTTCTATGCAGATTAGAACTTTCAGGGAGCCTAGCCATTGCTGAAAACCATTCATGTTAGGTACTTTTTCGATAGTTAACTTCCTCTCGCATAGACTACCAAATCGTGCCAGGTCGCTGGCCTGTCTTTGACCAAAAAGTCTTGAATTAAAGCAGATGTCAAAAACTGGTAGCCCACTTGCTAAATTCAGTCCACCAATGTTTTTCCTTGGCCTACACAGAGTTTTAAAACATGTAAGCCATCTCAAAAATAGAGAATTTCACATAAAAATCTGGATATTCTGCTCTTCATGAAAATTTGGACTATCTGGAAACAGAACCTTTATTCTTAAAATTAACAATAGAAAAACATAGCAATTTCCTCTTTTAGATGACTGTGTGCCCTCTAGGGTCTTTGTGGTTCTATCACTCCTATTCCCAGGACTCAGACGAAATATTTAATTCCTCTTTTTTTTTTTTGAGTCAGAGTCTCTGTCACTCAAGCTGCAATGCAGTGGCATGATTATGGCTAACCACAGACTCAGTCTCGTAGGCGCAGGAGATTCTTCTGCTTCAGTCTCCCAGACAGATGGAACTACAGGCATGCACCTGTGTGTGTGTGTGTGTGTGTGTGTGTGTGTGTGTGTGTGTGTGTGTATTTTGTAGAGACGAGGTCTTGCTTTTGCTTAGGCTGGTCTCAAACTCCTGGTCTCAAACAAACTCTCCCTCCTCAGTCTCCTGAATAGCTGAAACTACAGGCGTGGGCCACCACAACTGGCTAATTTTTTTACTCTTTTGTAGAGATGGGAATCTCACTATGTTGCCCAGGCTGGTCTTGAACTTCTGTGCTCAAGCAATCCTCCCACCTTGGCCTCCCCAAGTGCTGGGATTACAGGCATGAGGCACTGTTCCTGACTTTAAATGTCTTTTTATCAGCATGCTTATGTTCTTGCTTCTTTTATAAGAGGAAGTACCTTGTATTTCACAAGCCTGATTCTGTTACTCATTTATGTCACTGCCTTGAAGACATTTGGGAACAACAATATGTAAGTTTAGGTAGTGGGCTTTCTAGAAAACGCCTTGTTCAAAATTTTAATACATCTGAGGGACGAGAGCTCTCTGTTGGGAGACAGAGCTCTGTATGTTACAATGTTGTCAGAGTCCTGACATTGGAGTGCCATCTCTGGTTTTTTTCCTGGGAGGAGTACCAGCCAAACTCTGTATCAGTAGCTATGCAGGAGAAGCCAAGAGGCTGATAGAGGCTTCTGCGGGCTCTGTCACCATGAAGTGTTCTTCCTGCTTGACAAAACTCATACATCTCCTCTTGTCTTATAACAGTAAAACTGGTGTGGTTGTCTTCACTTTCAAAAACCATAGAAAGAAATGTCACCCACTAGGTCGGGGAAGAGGGATAGGGTATCTTTTGTACAGAAACTTTTCAAAAGACTACCAACCAAACTCTCTCTTCATTTTACTTAGGGGTATGTCTTCACCAGCATAAAGGACCCGGGGCTGAGATTTGGGAGTGGGGATAGGACTTACACCACACGGCCCATTGGTCCCTGTCCACTAGCCCCACCTGGGAGATTGCTGGGATGGGTAGGTGAATGCTGCCCCTTTCTGAGACTTCTTGTGTTTTGGCGTGGAGGGAGGTCCAGGGGTGAAAATCATATCTATTCTGAAAGAAACAAAGGAGAAAGCAGATTACACAGAGCTTTGTTTGTGGAGGAAAACAAATCATTTTATTTCCTCTGAAATATACATTTTTCGATATATAAAGGAAAGGAAGAGAGAGAGAGAGAAAAAAATAGAGAAAAGAGACACCGAGAGAAAGAAAGTGAGAAATAGTCTTATCTCTTATCAGTTTATTCTTATCCTTTTTTTTTCATTTGGTGGTACTAAGAGAAAATTTCTATCCCAGGGAAGAGAGAGAAAGACAAGCCTCTGAGACAATGTGAGAGTTGTACCTTGTTATTTTTTATAGGAAATGTCATAAGTGTGCTGCAAGCCTAGCTAGTCCTCCAGCTCATTTTTCTCTCCCTAAAACTTCTAGTTAGGGAGTTTGAACAGCCAAATCCTAGGCTCCATTTTCAGCTGTGCACATTGATGTCCTGTGGGTCTCTCTGGCCACTGGAAGCGTGGATCCAGCACCAGCCCTTGCACTCTGCATCCACATCTGCTGGAGGCAGCAGCTCCCGCTCCACACCAGGATCAACAGGTGAGAAATGCTGCTAATGCCGGTGCAATTTTCTCATAAAATTAATATTTATGAGGTGTTTTTGAAAAAATGGATATGAACCCTCTTGGCTTAAAACTTGAAACTTACATTTGCCTTATCTGAGCTCCTTCCTCAAGAGACTGGACCTCAGACAAGGAACTAAGTCTCACCAGAACATTGCAAACAAGTGTGACTTAGTTAAACTAAAAATCTTCTGAGCAGCAAAAGAAATAATCAACAGAGTAAACAGGCAACCTACAAAATGGGGGAAGATATTCACAAACTATACATCCGAGAAAGGACGAATATCCAGAATCTACAGAGAACCCAAACAAATCGGCAAGAAAAAAAGCAAATAGCCCCATTAAAAAGGGGCAAATGACATGAACAGGAACCTCCTAAAGAAGATATACAAATAGTCAAAAAACATATGAAAAATGCACTACACATCACTAATCATAAGAGAAATGCAAATAAAGACCACAATGAGATACCATCTTATGCCCGTCAGAATGACCATTTTTAAACAATCAAAAAACAATAGATGTTGGCGTGGATGCCGTAAAAAGGAAATATTTATACACTGTTGGTGGGAGTGTAAACTAGTTCAACCTCTATGGAAATCAGTATGGAAATTTCTCAAATAACTAAAAGTAGTTCTACCATTCGATCTAGCAATGCCACTACTTGGTATCTACCCAAAGGAACAGACAAAATGACACTTGCTCTGGTATGCTTACTGCAGCATTTCATAATGGCAAAGATGTGGAATCAACCTAGATGCCCATCGACTGGTCAGTGGATAGTGAAAATACGATATACATATATATGTGTGGGTGTGTGTGTGTGTGTGTGTGTGTGTGTGTACACACAGACATATACACACACATACACCATGGAATACTATTCAGCATAAAAAATAATAAAATAATGGTCTTTTGCAGCAACTTGGGCGGAACTGGAGACCATTAACCTAAGTGAAGTAATACAGGAATAGAAAATCAAATACTACATATTCTCACTTATAAGTGGGAGCTAAGCTAAGAGTCTGCAAGGGCACATAGAATAGTACAATGCATGCTGGAGACTCAGAAGGAGGAGGATGGGAAGTGAGGGTGGGATGAAAAATAACCTACAGGGAACAATGTGCACAGGTGGGAGTGGCAGGTACACTTAAAACCCAAACTTCTTTATCGCTATACAATTAATCCATGTAACCAAGAACTGTTTGTACCCCCTTAAACTATTGAAATAGAACAATAAAAAAGGAAACTTGAAAAGAGATATATAAACATATATGTAGCTATAAATATATAAACATATGTATAGGTGTATATACATACATAAAATACATACATAAAGGAGGACCTCCAAAAACCCAGAATTATCTTTTGGAGGGTGAGCCCCTATTAGTATACTTGGAATTTGTTCCTCCAGATCAAACAGTCAATCAAAGTTTTTATCTGAAAGTTTTGTGAAGGTTGCATCACGATTTGTGGAAGAAAAGTCCTGAGTTATGGCAAACAGGTGACTGGTTCTTCCACCATGACAATGCACCTGCCCGTGCTGAGTGTTCAGCGGTTTTTGACCAAACATGGCATGACTCCCATGTCCCACCCTCCCTATTCACCTGATTTCACCTGAGCAACATTTTTTGGTTTCCCCAACTGAAGAGTCCTCTAAGGGAAAGGAGTGAAACAACAGCAGAAAAGCATCAAAATTGACTAGGTCAAAAATTGTTTTAAGCAATGGAAAAAGAGTCTTGATAGATATATTGCATCAAATGGAGAGTACTTTGAAGGTGAGTGACATTTAAACATGTAAACATAAATACACATTTTTTAAACAAATAGATTCTATTCTTTGGTCCCCCTTCATATATGAGTAAGTTATTAGTAATTGCACACATATATTCACAAATCACACAATTTTTAAAAATTTCATTATATACTTTTTTCTAAATATCATTTAATGACTGTATAACGTTTCAATGTGACCAGGTACCATTCTTTCCTTAATCACTATTTCATAACCACGGAAGTGTCCTGTGTTATATAGAATAGGGACTCTGTAATCATTGTACCTGGCTTAATTCCCAGCTCTACCACCTACTAACTGGGTAATTTTAGGTAGGTCCTTTGCCCTCTCAGCTTCAATGTCCTCACTGGAAACATGGCATTAAAATGCAAAATGTTATGGAATTATAAGGGACAAGACACATATAGTAAGAGTACTCAGGAACTTAATAAAAATGGTGAATATTATTAGTTTGGTGTTGATGCTATCTCTATATTCTCACTATTATAAATAATATTAGACTAACATTTTTAATATGGCAAAAAAAAATATATTTAGAATTAGCCAGGCTGGATTCAGTTTAGATGATTCTGATTTTGCTGGCAATATCCAAAATATCACAGTCAGGAACCAGTCAAATATGCACCTCCTCTTCTCCATCAGGCCTGATAAGAGTGGTGACCTTGGCCATGGCAATGTCATTGAGTCTTCACGGTCTGTCTGATCTGGTGCTTGTCGACCATGACATCTACAAGACTTGGTGAACATTTTGGCTTTTCAAATATCCCTCCTGAATTTTGGATTGTTTCTGAATGACTCCCCATAAGCCCTAAGTTTCAAATGGCCTAGACTCCAGTGTAGTCAAGAGAGCCTCGTCCCTCCAGATGCAACCTTACCTCGTTTGAAGATACTTTATCCTGGAAAGCATGTCTAGATGTCCTGCGGAATACTGCTCGATCACATCCTTCACGTCGTAAGGCCTCAAAGTCTCCTTAAATTTTTTTTTATAGAGACGGAATTGTAGAATTCTGCAAGGCAAGGTAGAGGCATTTGTGCGTCATGGGTGGAGAGCAAAGGAAAAACTGTAACACAAGGCCAGAAAACTCAGGGCAGGTGGAGAAAAGAACCAAAGAGAAAATGATGTGCTGGGAGAACTTCCAACTTTTGGTTCTTTACATCTTCAAACCACACCGAGTTAGGCTGGCTAGTACCACTCCGTCAGAACTTCCTCCCCCCAATCATTTGAATAGTGAGAAAATCAGAGTAATCATAAGAGCTAACACTAATTGAACATCTATTACATGCCAGACACTGAGCTTAATGCTCAATGAACTATCCTGAGAGTAGATCAATTTATAGATGATACTACTGTGACTTCGAGAGCCTCTGTATCATCCCAGAGCCATCTAGCTACTAAGTCCAGAGCTGGTTGTCAAACTCAGGCTGGGTGCTGACAAGGCCCAGGTTCTTTTTTTTTTTTAAGTCGGAGTCTCACTCTGTCGCTCAGACTGGAGGGCAGTGGCATGTTCCTGACCACCACAGCCTCGACCTGCTGGACTCCAGCGATCCTTTCGCTTCAGCCTTCAAAGTAGCTGGAACTACAGGCGCGCACTACCACGCCCAGCTACTTTTTGCTTTATTGTAGAGACAAGGTCTTGCCAAGTTGCCTGAGCAGGTCTCGAACCCGCAGGCTCAGGCAATCCATTCGCCTCGGCCTCCCAAAGTGCTGGGATTACAAACTGAGCCACTGAGCCCAGCCAGGCCTGTGTTCTTAATCACTGTTAGTCACACTGCTTTCTAGGTGAGGACAGCTGGTGGGTTTCCTCCTCAATAGCCTCTTTAACTCTTTTGTTTGTGAGCTCCCAGAATAGAAAAGCTAGTTTCTATTCCCTGAGTTTTCTCAGGTTCCTTGTAAAGTGGGGCACCCAGAACTGGTCGATGATGTCAAACCCTTACCTCCCTCATTTATCTGTTCTTTTCTGGAAACCAATAAAGTCACCCTGATGGACAGAGCCCCATCATGAAGCTGACTCTTGCTGAGCACAGTGGCAATTAAACCTTCCAAGCACAGGTCAGTGTCAAGAGGCCACAGCTCAACCCAGGCCCTTCCATCTTGTGCAAATCATTTTTATGGTGCATTTAAAGTTCATCTTGTTTGCCATAGCTCATGGCTCCAACCTCTAAACACGATTTTGGCATATCGATGATACCACCTGTTTCCTATCCTTCCCAATTTTGTGTCATTTTATCAGTCTTCTTTTTACTCAAGTCCATCTAAGGTAAGAGTCAGCAAACTAAGGTTACCAGGCCAAATCTGGTTCACTTCCTGTTTTTAAAAGTAAAGTTTTATTGGAACACAGCCACATACACTCAGTTTTGTACTGTCTAAGGTGGCTTTTGTACTGCAATGGCAGAACTGAATATTTGCAGCAGAGACGTATGGACCTCAAAGCCTAAAATATGTATCTGGCCTTTACAATAAAAATGCTAAAAAAGAGAGGACAGAGACCAAACCACAGTTTCCCAGCAGAGATCTCCCTCCAGACTGACACAGGCTCACTAACGGATTTTCCCTGAATAAGGTCATCCAGTCAGTTACGAACCCAGATAGTCATGTTTTTATGCAACTGTGTTTATATTATACATGATGATATCATGGAAAACCAGGTCCAAGGCTGTTGCCCATATTCTTATAAAGTTTCTTAAAGTAGTAGCTTAGTTTCCAATTTCCTTGAAGAATTTTAAAGCAAAACAGGGCTGGGCATGGTGGCTCATGCCTGTAATCCCAGCACTTTGGGAGGCTGAGGAGGGAGGATTGCTTGAGCCCAGGAGTTTGAGCCCAGGCTGGGCAAAATAGTGCGATCCCATTTCCACAAAATATTAGGCAAGTATGGTGCATTTGCCTGTAGTTCCAGCTACTTAGGAGGCTGAGGAGGTAGGACTGCTTCAGCCCAGGAGTTTGAACCTGCAGTGAACCATGATCAAGGATCAAGCCACTGCACTCAAATCTGAGTGGTGACAGAGCGAGAGCTTGACTCAAAAAAAAAAAAAAAAAGAAAAAAAAAAGAAAGCAAAGCAAAACAGAAATAGCCAGGGGTAGATTATGACCTTTTCTGATGCAGACAAAAATAAAATTTGAATTTATTATCTTGTTAAAAATGCTAATTAAAAAGAACTATATGGAGGAAGACAGGCAGAAGAAAAACTATTTTGAGTAAGAAGCTTGCAAAGAAGTAAACCTCAAGTCAATACTTCGACTCTCCCCGCCCCCACCGCCCGAAACACTTTATAATAAATGGTGGTTAAAGCCAGAGAAGGGCATAATAGTTGGAAACGCCATCAGGAGGGCTGTGGGGACATGCTTATCACAAAGAAAGCAAGAGTCCTCCATCATGACTTGCTGGTGTCCTGGTCATTCATGTTGGAGCAGCATGCCCCATACAGTATGTGCATACTCTTGGAACCTGACTCAGCATCATGAAAGAAGCATCTTACCCCCTTCCCAAAGTCCAAGAACACTTTATAAGCCCCATCCTGTGGGAAACAGGTGGGGAGAAGGAGACATTACCTGACAGCACGGATGGCGGCCTTCAGGGTGGGGATCATGTCTTCGATAAGGAAGTCATTCCCATAGCCCCTGTCTTCTGCCATGGGATCAACTGTTCCGGCATCTGGGAGGGAGACACACTATCAGTGGCAGCCCACAGCCCTTGGAAAGGTTCAGGGACCCCATTGTTCAATCAGAGCTTTCCAAGCCTCTTGATCAGTCAATTCTGAATTAATCTTTGTTCCCACTCTGTGAAACCACACAGTGTTCTCCAACTGTGATCTTGTTCAGCCTTTCTTTGTACCCCAGTTCTATCCTCCAGAAGTTTGAGTCAGAGGTGTGTGCAGCTCAGGACTGGTGGTTGGTGAGAAGGCTAGAAAGGAGGCGAAGTTCCAGAAAGGACCCTCAGAGGCAGCAAAAGTCACATGCCTTGAACTGGGGTTCTTGCACTGTCAGTCTCTATCCTGGTGACTTTAGAAAGGTCCCTTCCTGAGCCATGCATACCTCGGAGGCCTTGAAGAGGCCTGAGTGACACAATGTGGGTCAAGAGCCTGGGTGAGCTCAGTTATGAGCTTTTCTGATACTTCTTCCCAGGCCCTGGGGTTTCTGAGGTCCCTCTCCAGACCACTTTGCTCCTGGTCTCTTCCTAGTCCTCAAGTTGACCTTTATGACAATTCCTTCATCATGGCACCCTTAGAAACCAAGGTGGCACGTCCTCAGGTTCCCTGAAGGGATGAGTTTGTGCTGACATTGGTGGTGACTCTGTTTCAGTAAAATGACTAACTTGGGAGCTTCCTGTACTAGGACTCCTAGCACAGATGCCTCTGGCCCAAGAAACACGAATAAGGCAAAGGAAAAAGTTGGTTTGGGAAGGGAAGGGAAGGGAAGGGAGGGGACTACTTTGTAGGCTCAGAGTTTCTTCAGTGGAGATATGGGGAAGTGAGGAAGGACTTTGGGGAGGGAGAAGAAGAGGAGACAAGATGGGAGGAAGAAAGATGTTACCTTCGGAACTCTGCCAGAAAGCGTAGGCTTTCATGCGGAAGGCGGTGCGGAAACGCTCTTTATTGTTTAAGCCAACAGGCTTTGGTTCTTTAGAAGGACTTTCTTCTATGGCATCTACATTCAGAGGGGTAAATAGCTTTCCTTTAGTATTGCTACCACGAGGATTAGAAAGGCGAACCCGATCCAAGAGACCCAGCTTTTGGCTACAAAATAAGCAAAAGTGAACAATTTTCCTCCTTCAGTGCAGGCTCTTAAATTTCCATCCCTCCATAAAGACTCACACATTTTCCTGCAAGGACCAAGGGGGACTGTGCACTCGCAGGGTTGAATCTGATGAAGCAGCTTGGAATTGGACAGGGTGTGGTTCAAATCCTAGCTCTGCAACTTGCTAGCTATGACACCTTGGGTAAGTTTCCCAGCTTCTCGGAACTTCAGTTTCCTCATTTGCTAAAGTAGAACTTATGTGAGACGCAAGATATAAAATGTACTAGTATGCGGTGAAGATTTGTCCTTCCCCATGACCTGTCCTCAGCATTAATGATTTCCTGTGTACAATTCCATGGTACCTAGAGAGTGATTTACATAGACACACAGTCACCCTTATTAACCTGGTGTCTACAGACAGACCCTTATGGCTAGAATTTGGGAGTCCATGGGCTTGGATAGGGAAAATAATCCATCTTCAATTTACTAACTTATAACTAAAAGTTAGCATCTCTTTACTTATGAATGCAAGTTAGAAACTCCAGTAATATCCTCAATGCCTGTGACTTTCTAAAACAGAAATCACAGATACATTTATATCTTGTTATCTTAAGGTATTGCTTATGCTGTCACTGCTTCAAAGTTAAGGTAATTTTCAATCTGCCCCTAGATTCATGACCACAGAGCACACACATGTGACAATATCTCGAATTTTTAAATATTTTGATAACTCTGTTTCACTATAATCAATCTTTTTTGTAACTGTATATTGCATTTTATTTTTGCGTTCAAAATTATTTCAGGAAGGGAGCCATGGGCTTCACAATACTGCCAGATGCATTCTTGGTACCAAAAAAAAAAGAAGATGAATAACTCCAATGTAAAGTTGCCCTGGTACAAAATGTCAGTTGCACCTTGACCTAAGGGCCCAAGTCCACCCTTCTCATTTGGCTGATCTTAGCCAAATCTGTGACCTTCTGAGACTCAGCTACCTCACCTGTGAAACAGGAAGAAGCATTTCCTGCTTCACCTAGTTGCTGTGAGATGATGTTCATCGAAGATTTGGCAAGGAGCCTGACACACAGTAGGCGCTCTGTAAATATTAATCTCTTCCCTCTATTTCCCAGCCTCTGCTCTCTTGCCTAGTGGGCACGAGGGATGAAGTTGCTTGTGTATGGTACTTTTTAGAGAGCCATGTTGCTGCTTGCCATACATTGGTACGCTCAAGGCAGCGGCTTCCTCTCTATTTACCCCACACAGCATTTGGCACACCGTAGGCACTCCCTCATGTACTTGTGGAATAAATGAGAGAGGGGTCCGATCAACTCTGCATGGGTTTGAGGCAATTTTGTATTTTCTGCAGGGCGTGTCTGGTTAGGACAGCCATGTGCTTCCACCAGGCCCTGCTGGTGTCTTTGCAGTTTGGTGCGGTGCAGAGGTCATGACGCTGGGGCTGCAGAGACCAGGTGTGTCAACAGTCACCCTGTGCTCTCTGAGCACTGGGGTCCTCATCTGCTGAGGGGGCCTTGCAACACCTGCTTCCTCGAGGTTTTGAGAGTATTACACATAGTACTATCTGTAATGTGTCTTGCTATAGCCTGCTGGCACACGGAAGGCAGTAAGAAATATTTGGGGGAAAAAAAAAAGCCCAAGTGAGAAAATGAATGAATAAATAAATGAGCATATGAATGAATACTGAGGAGTTGTTATTCTTGACTCCCTCTGGACCTGTTCTTTCTCGCCCAGTACCGTGGCATTGAGGAACTCCGTTAATAACCAGAGCAGGATAAATGTAGAGAAACTCCAGAACTCAGCTTCATTTTCCTTGAGCTGAACTGCTTCCCTGACTGGTACTAGATGAATGAATGGTAATACATCAGGGCGCGCAGGCTAACAATAGCGGATGATGAGGAACTCAATGGAGCACATATGGAAGGCCTTCCTGTTCGGCTTCTGCCTGGCTCACCAGGTTATGCAGTCCTAGCTAAGCAGGGAATGGGCCTGGTCATCCTCGAATCCACCACATCCCCCTGCTCAGCATCTGGACGTTTCACGTAGCGACTAAGACCATGAGCTCTGGGGCAAAGCCAGCCTGGGTGGAAAGGTTCTGACCACCCAGGCGACCTAGGACACACCACTGGTGCTCTGTGGTCTGCAGCTTTCTCACAGGTACGGTGATGACATTAGCCTACGCTTTGCATGGATATTTAAGGGTTAAATAGCCAAGTGCTTAGCCCACTGGGATGCAGGAAGCGCTCAATAAAGGCTGACTGTCATCATTATCTCAGTCAATAATCCTCTTCCCCACAGAAGCAGTAGAAGGTTGATGGTGTGTGTGAAAAGGATGGATTCAATTTCCTGGACCACAAAAAAAAGTTTTTTGTTTTTTTTTAAATTCTTAATGAACTGAAATGAGTTTTGAGGACTTTTATATTATTTTACAGTATTTTTGAATGTTAACCTCAAAACACTCAACATTGTTGTTGCACTCTACCTGCACAGGAGATAGGTAGATGAAAAGCTTAATTCCAGATAAACTGAGCAAGGTAAAATTAAAAGCAGCCACTTTGTCCTAACTTGAAATTTCAGCATCATTGTTGAATATTAGAAAGACAACAAGAGATCCCTCTTGGTTCTATCTGTGCTGGGATTACGATTTGCTTGCTTGGCATTTAAGTGTGTCACTGCAACCTCGTCGAGTCTGAACTGCTTTGGTTACTTTCACTTAGAACTGCATTGGTCGCAGAGGACAGTTTAGATGGCTTTAGGAAGACATGCTTTGGGCAGGAGTCAGAAGCCTCGGCTCTAAATTGCTCACAGCCACAGCCTCTAAGAGGCTTACAGAATTCTTCCTCCAGCAAAGTGGATGGTCAGCTTACGTCTTAATTGTGTTGCCTGAAATCCAAGACCCCCAAGGATCATCGAATGCAAGGTGAAGTTCACCACTGAAACTCAAATCCCTTCACTGGCTTCTCCAGGTGCATTTCCAGGGCATAAATCAGGCCTTGTTCTAGGAGGGCACTGAAGGTCTTGCAAGAAAAGCCTTCCCTGGAGCTGACATCAGATTTCCTTGGATAGCCAGGGCCCTTGCTTTGTTAAGTACAGACAAACAATTCCAAATATGAATTGTAAAAACTGCAACCAGATGCATGGGCAATAGAAATGTAAAATCAAGACCGTTCTGTCCTGGCAGCTGCAGTCCCTGTCCTGGGCGCCTGTCTCAGGTCTTAGCACCCAGGAAACTCCAGCCATGTCCAACTCCATGCAGTTCCTTGACATGCAGCACTTTGCACATGCAAAGTGTGTGTGCACTTGCAAAGTGGAGTCTACCTGGGAGAACCTTCATCTGTTCTTTCATCTCATGATTCTTATTTTTGTCTAAAACTTGGCCCAGTGCCCACTTGTCAGCATATCTGGATGTTCAGTGTGGTGACGTCCATTGATGAGAGAGAGCAATCCATGAGATGCCCATTCTCTGTGCTCCTAGGGTACTTTAGGGCTTTTCTCATTCATAGCTCTTGGCCACTGTAGACTCAATCAGCAGTTCTCAATTGTGAGGTGGGGGAAGGACTGTGAGCATCCCCCACCTCCCCAACCTGGAGACATTCGGCAATAACTAGAGACATTCTTGGTTAACACAACTAAGGAACTACTGTTGACACAGTAGTGAGGAGCAATTCTGCCATCTAGCGGGAAGAGACCAGAAATGCCGTCAGGCATCCTGCAAGGCATAGGAAAATTCACCGAAACAAAGAAGGATCTGTCCCAAATATCAATAGTGCTGAGACTGAAAAACTAAAAGGCAGGTTCTGGAGGCTAGAGGCTACCTTGCTCAATTTGTATATCCAGCATATAGAACAGTACCTGCCATGTTGAAACACTAAAAGCAGTATTATGATGTTGAATGCATAAAAGAAGGAATAAAACATTCAATTTCGTGAGTAATAAAGTGCAGCCAACCTAAGTTGAGAGAGGGAGTGCTGTATAGTGGGAAGAATGTGGATTTTGGAGTAAAAGAACTGGGTTTAAATCTCTACTCTGTCAATATTTCAACTGGGTAAGTCATTGACTCTTTCTAATTCAATTTCTTCATCCGCAAAATGAAGCTAATATTATTTATTTATGTAGAGATGAGGTCACACTAAGTTGCCCAGGCGGCTGAGCCACTGAGCCCAGCTGTAGTTCCAGCTACTTGGAAGGCTGAGGCAGAAGGGTCGCCAGAGCCCAGTAGGTCGAGGCTGCGGTGGCCGGCAGCGGCCACTGCACTCCAGTCTGGGCAATTGAGTGAGACTCCAACTCAAAAAATATACATATATATTTATTTGTTTGTTTATTTATTTATTTATTTATTTTTGAGTTGGAGTCTCACTGTGTTGCCCAGACTGGAGTGCAGTGGCCGCTCCCGGCC